TTGTCGCACGCCCTGTGTCACGAAGAACCAGTCCGATAGTTCTCCGTCGTCCGTGCGCACCCGGGCCCATATTTCATCGTGGAATTGGCGGATGATTTCGATCAGCTTCGCGCGAACCCCGGCCCTGGCCAGCACCTTCCATAGCATCTCTCGGTCCACCGAATCATGCGCCTTCTTCAAGTCGACGAAACACATGAAGAGCGGTATTATCTTTCTCCGCCCCAGCTCCTGGAGGCGACGCACGAACAGCATGTCGACGGTGGATCGCCCGGGTCTAAATCCGCCTTTCCTTCGGGAGGATGTCGTTGGCTTCGCAGAAGGCGCTTAGACGGTTGGTGATGATCTTGATGGGGACCTTGCCTACGTCCGATAGTAGCGAAATCCCCCTGTAGTTGTTACAGTTGGACCGGTCATCCTTCTTGTACAGCACCTTGATGCAATCCTTCCACTCTCGCGGATTATCTCCTCCGTTCCACACCTTAACGAGGGTGGTATGGAGGTGTCCCAGGACGAAGGGTTCGTCGTCATCGAACTTGAGCAACTCGGCAGGGAGGGAGTCATGGCCGGGTGCCTTCCAGTTCTTGAGGCCTTTCGTTGCCCGTGCCACCTCCTCGAGTTCTGGCACATCTCCCAACCGTTGAGTGTCACGTGTCGCTGGCCGCTGCGTCACTCGTTCGATGATGTCTGGGTTCAGGGTGGGGGATTTGGTGTTGAGTAGGGTGCTGAAGAATCTCGCCCACCGCTGGAGGATGTCGTCCCTGTTCCGGAGCAACACGCCGTTCTCATCCGCGACGAACTGCTGTCCCCCCGCTTGTCTCCCGCTGAGGCCCACTGATCTCTTGAGGTGTTGGTACAGTCCTCGCATGTCGCGATCTTTGTAGATTTCTTCGAGCTCAGTCACATATCCGTCCAGGTGGGCATAAATGCCCGTTTCGACTGCTGTAGCCACTCCCTTACACGCTGCTTTGAGAACCCTCCACGTCGCTGAGTTCCAGTTGCCCCTCATCGCCCGGCGCGCTTCCCGACGTTTGGTAAGGGCCTGCTCCAGCGCTGCTCGCGTCTCTGGAATCTCACACCACTCCTGTGTGCGGCGTCTCCGCGGTTCCTCCCCCAGGGTCNAGAGGATGTCCCTGTTCCGGAGCAACACGCCGTTCTCATCCGCGACGAAATACAGTCCCCCCGGTTGTCTCCTGCTGAGGCCCACTGATCTCTTGAGGTGTAAGTCCAGTCATCGCATGTCGCGATCTTTGTAGATTGCTTCGAGTTCAGTCACATATCCGTCCAGGTGGGCATAAATGCCCGTCCCGACTGCTGGAGCCACTCCCTTACACGCTGCTTTGAGAACCCTCCACGTCGCTGAGTTCCAGTTGCCCTTCATCGCCCGGCGCGCTTCCCGACGTTTGGTAAGGGCCTGCTCCAGCGCTGCTCGCGTCTCTGGGGTCTCGCACCACTCCTGCGTGCGGCGTCTCCGCGGTTCCTCCCCCAGGGTCGTCCGCGCTGCGTCGAGGAGAGCATTGGTAAAGTCGGTCGCCAATTCCGCGGCGGTGGTTGTTCGCTCGTCCAGTCGTGTGTCGAGGTTGAGGAGGAACCGATTAGTCACCGCACACCGTGCTGCTTCGAACTGCAATTCCCGTCGGTTGAATTGCTTCTGTTTCGGTTTAGTCCGGACTGCACGGTTGTGGGCAAGCCTGCCACCGAGGTTGACGGTGGCTACTACCATATTGTGGTCTGAGTCTGCTTTGACTGGGCGAACCGGCTGGGGGATGACGACCACGTTAGATACTCGGCCGTGATGTGCCTGCCTTGTCAGGATGTAGTCAAGGCGCTTGCAATCGTTTCCCGACACACCGTTGTATGTGTGCCATATTCCGCCCTTGCGTGTCTCAAAGAACGTGTTCGTGAGAGCTAGCCTGTTTTCCGTTGCGAAGTTCAACAGTAGCATGCCATCGTCGTTGAACTCATCACGCCCGTACATTCCTATTACCCTTCCGTCCCCTCCGTCCAACACCCCAGAACACGCGCTTGCTGTCGGCGGTTGAAGATTCGGTTGGAGCATACGCGGCTACGAAGTTGACCACTTCGCGGTGGCCTGCCAACAGAAAACTCATGGCAATGAGGCGTTCGTCGATGAACCTCGTAGTGAACGTGCATGTCTTGCACGGTGACTCTTTGACGGCTATCCCCACACCATGGACTCCACCAGTCTCCGTGCCACAGCAGAACACCCGGAAACCCGCTGCTGCAAATTCCAATCGACCTGCCCTCCGTGTTTCCTGCATTCCTACCACCGATACGTCTTGTCTCGCNACCCTTCCGTCCCCTCCGTCCAACCTATCTCCCGTCCGCGCGTTGGCGTTCAGTAGGACATACACACATTCTTTGGCAGGGATCCTCCGCAGGAGACTGACCCCAGAACACGCGCTTGCTGTCGGCGGTTGAAGATTCGGTTGGAGCATACGCGGCTACGAAGTTGACCACTCCACGGTGGCCTGCCAACAGAAACCTCATGGCCATAAGGCGTTCGTCGATAAACTCCGTAGTGAACGTGGATGTCTTGCACAGCGACTCTTTGACGGCTATCCCCACACCATGGACTCCACCAGTCTCCGTGCCACAGCAGAACACCCGGAAACCCGCTGCTGCAAATTCCGTTCGACCTGCCCTCCGTGTCTCCTGCATTCCTACCACCGATACGTCTTGTCTCGCTGCCTCGTATAGTATGCTGTAGACTCGCCCGTATCCATTGGCCCCGTTCACAGCCAAAGTCCGCACATTCCAGGTTGCTACCCTAAGATGTTGACCCTGCTGTCTCTTTCGCGCGGCGCGCGCTGCTCTCTTAGCTGGCCTACGGGCCGCCCGACCCTTCCTTTTCCTCCATCTTCCCTTCTTTTTTGGTTTTTGCTATTCTCTTGCGAACACTCGGGCTGACGTGATAGTTACCCCGGTTCTTGCCTTGTGTTCCATAGAGTTGACTTCTCGTCAAGGAGCGGTGTGGCCCTCCATCTCTGGACTCTCTCCTTTCCTCTCTCTGGGGCATACCCCCACGGCGTGCGGTCACTCCGCCACCCTCACCGTGCTCTCTGCTGCTGCATAGCCCCGGTGTCCAAGCCGGGGCGTCAGGATNTCTCTCTGGGGCATACCCCCACGGCGTGCGGTCACTCCGCCACCCTTACCGTGCTCTCTGCTGCTGCATAGCCCCGGTGTCCAAGCTGGGGCGGCACGATCCAGTCTCATTTTGCAGCTCCCAAAGCTAGCGGCTCACGAGCTACCCCGGTCTCACGGCAGCAGTAACTCCCAACCGCCGAACTCAGGATCCCCCTCTCAACAGTGCCAGGGACCGTATAGCCGTCTTTGCTGAGTGGTCTTTCGAGGTCTAGATCCACTTGCGGAACCTCGGCCTACCCCAGGGACGGGGGGGGCAGGCCGGGGAGAGTACGTCAGACTGGTTATGCCTGCCTGTCATCTGTTAGCAACCATGGTTACTAGCCCGATACATGTATATGCATAGCAATATGCATATGTCTGCACATTTCCGGGGTCATTGCATATTTTGTTGTTGCGTACATGATGCCTGCAACCTGAAGTGTGTGAGAAGTGAGGAGGTCAGCAGGGCGTGTGACCCTCATACTCATCATGGTTGCTGGCAGTCAGTCGTGCTGGGTATGTACAGTATTCCGTCAATTAGCAGTTGGCAACCATAGAGAGATGTACGACGATAGTTGGTAAGCTAACCTGACGTTGTCGTCGACAGTCTGGAAGGAGAAATATTCCGTTGTTGCAGAGTAGGTGGCTGGTTGTGGTCGACAGTCTGAGAGAAGAAAATAACGTGGTGTGGGGTAGGTCGTTTTTGACGTTGGGGTGTTGCTCTGCGTATGTTTGGTGTGTGTGCTTTCTGCTCTGCCTTTTTATGGTTCTCAGTCAGTAGTTCATGCAGTATTTGTTGTGCGTCCACCCGGTAAAGTTGTTGTCGGCGGCGTAATGTATGTTGCATGTATCCCGTCGAAACAGCAGTACAATGGAGGCCAATGTTTGGAACGGCCTGTAGTAAATTGTGCACAAGAACCCTTTGGTACTGATCGACGGTGCACGTTCCTGAGGAGGAGTGGATGTGACATCTGCTCTGCCCCTCCCTGCCTCGCAAAAGCGCCCCACAAACTAACGCTCCACGCATGGTTCTCGGGAGATAGGTGTATGTATGCTTGACGCAGTCGATTGCGGTGCAAACCGGCCACATGCATCGTCGACCTGAACGTGACTCTTCGCGTCGTGTGGGGTGCGTCGTTGTTGACGACCTGTGGGGGTCCTGAAGTAAGAAGAGGAGGGGGTTGGTTGTTCGGTGAATCAATCGAACGCGGGAGATCTACGGACATGACATACAAGAACGGATGCGTTCTCAACAACAGAGACGAGCTGTTGCACAAAACTTGCCGGAGGGGCGGACGGGGCCAGGAGGGAGACCTCTTCCAACCCACACGAAAATCTGTCAATGGGATCTCGAGAAACATCGCCCGAAGGAAAACAACTTGCTTTTCGAGAAGAAACCGGAGTTCGCCCACTCTAAAACAAGTGAAAGAGGGAGTGGGGTCGCTGAGAATTTCCGCAACAGAAAACTGATGCAAATAGGCTTCAGAACCACTGCTCGCCCTCTGAAGCAACTGCCCGAATAACCCCCTCTCCTACCCCATCTTGTTTTGTGCCAGGTTGGTCATACCACAGCAGCCAAGCAGATTACGCCGACACTGGCATCGCTGGGGCCCCGAAAAACAAGGGGATTCTGGCGCACCGCTCTCGGGGGAGGGTGTGGTTCCGCGTTGCTGCCACACCCGAGGTGGCAAGGGAGGTGGAGGTGAAAAAAGAGCACGACTCTCTCTGTGGTTTAATTTTGGTATCCACTTCTGTTTGGAGGTCTAAACGCTTACTACAAAAAAATGTCAACAAAAGAAACACGGTTTGGTCTCTTGGCGGTGTGGGCTGCTCGCCTTCTACTTTTATACCTGTTATACGTAACGTCTCACGCTCACATGTGAGGCCTCCCCACAGCCATCTGCATGGGGGTGGGTCTGTTCCGGCGATAGGCAACAGCTCACGAACACAACTATTATGGCACACTCTCGTGAACTGCAAAATAACATTTTATTCGGAGCTCTCCGATGTACAACGTTTCTGTCCCATGAACACACAGCAATCCCTCCTTCCCCCCCCCCCCCCCCCCCCCCCCCCCCCCCC